TCTCAGTCCTTGTCAGAGTGTATGTGCATGTGTTTTACTTCCTCCCTGCTCTCATGAAATCTTTTGTATTTCAGTGAATTTCCAGAGTAACCCAAGTCTAATGATAAGCCCCCTTTGGAGCATGCATGATGCCACTCTGGCTGCTTAAGAATAGGTAGCAATAACTGTTGCAAGACATCTGAGTGCCAGTGTACCAGGGCCTTCACAGCACACTCTGCGGGGTGCAGGAGTGAGAAGAGGGAGGCTTGAGTCTACCTTCTTTGATGTCAGCAGATATTCCTGGCTGCAAATGGAGGTAGACTGTTTGCTGGAAGCATCACTCCTGTGACAGCCAATCAAAACCACTAGCTGGTTGAGTGGGAGGCAGGGCTTGAATGAAATACTGTACCTGGAAAGAGTCTGGTCCATCTATTATTTATATAAATAGACCTATCCCGGCACTAGTCCTTAGAGGTCTTTTTAAACTCTCTAATTACTTCCAGAGCAGGAACAAAGAACAGGAAAAAATGGAAAGTTCCCTCAAAGGAAGGATGTGAAAAGTGGAACCTGCCAAGGATTGTAACAGTTCAGCATCTCTATTCAACTTTCCAGCTACACCAGGAAGGCTTTCTTTTTCACAAAAGAGTTCCTTAGGAGTTTACAACCTTTCCTATAATATTAGCTTGGCAGAAAAGAGAAAACTATAACTAGAGTATCTCAAGAATAAAAGATAAACTGCAGGTAAGGGAACATAAATTAATTTTAACTCTTTATTAGGGATCAACCTTGTATAGGTATCATGCAGAAGTTACTTTACATGACTGCACATGCTAGCTCCTATCATACACTAATCCTTCCATGCATAGGCAGCTCATAACACACTTGGTGCCATTTCCTTCATATCAGCAAACCTCTTTTCAGGATGCTTGCTCTAGCAAGAAGATACTGATGATGCTCAGACTACTACAGTGGTTTCCAACCTTGGGGAATCCAAGTGTTCTTGGACTGCAATTCCCAGAAGTCTTTGCCACCAGCTGTGCTGGTCAGAATATCCGGGAGTTGCAGTCCAAGAACACCTGGCTTACCCAAGGCTGGGAACCACTAGTATATTTGAACTTTTTAGGTGATAATGACACTTCTAGGTAACAAACCTCAGAGCCTCAAGCCTAAATTTTCAGAAGTCATAAAAACCAACCAGTAAACCCTACATCAACACTGCAATACCTAAGTTGTATCCTAGGAATTAGGAAACCCACTCCTCTCCAGAAGCCATGCAATGCTCTTTCTGCAAATTCTGGCAAGGCCTTACCCCAAAAAAAAAAAAAAAAAAAGACTAGCCAGTTTCTATGGTCTAATTGTTACCTAACAGAAATGCAAAAGGTTTCACAAGTGCAGCCCTGAATCAAGTTACCAGAATCAAGTTACCAATCATGCAAAGCTGTGGGGTATTTTATGGCATTAGCACACAGTTTTGGCCTCCTTATTCCAGATACCAGGATAATTCACAAAAACATTTTAAAAAAACATTAGAAATTACAGCTAGTCTTTGTACAGCAAAAGTGTACCCTAAGAAGAATATTCAGCTAATGTGGTGATGAAATGTGCAATTCAATATCCATACTCTTTATATTTTGTTTTAGCTGCTAAAATAATCCCTTTCAGGGTTGACTTTATTCAGGCAATCTGTCATAAACAAGCATTTTTTTATACTTAAATATCAAATTTATCTAAAAATAAATAGGTATTTGTACTTTAAGCATTTCCAATAGAGATCAACCTTACTTAGCTACCGTTAAGTAGTCTATACTGGATACCACAAGACATAAACAGCTGAATCATTTGGATATATACAGCTGTTAAGGGCACTGAAAAGGGTGCACTTCATGGTACATTAAGCAGTAGACACACTCTAGAACCGGGAGCCCCAACCCCTGGTCCACGGACTGGTCCCGGTCTGTAGCCTTGGCAGGACCAGGCCGTGGAGACAGATCTCCTGCCCCCCATGCATGCAGACGTGCGCTCTCTCTCTCTCTCTCTCTCTCTCTCTCTCTCTCTCTCTCTCTCTCTCTCTCTCTCTCTCTCTCTCTCTCTCTCTCTCTCTCTCTCTCTCTCTCTCTCTCTCTCTCTCTCTCTCTCTCTCACACACACACACACACACACGGACGGACGGACGGACTCCCCCGCATGCATGAACACACGCCCCCCACATGCCCAGACGTACTTCCGCACACGCATGGCCAGACGCTCACCCCCGCCCCCGCACACACATTAAATCGGTCCTAAAAAGATTGGGGACTACTGCTCTAGAGGCTCCTTTCTTATTCTAGAACACACATGCCCAAGCGCAAGCCCATCTGAAATCATCACATGCCAGCAGTACAGACTAAAAGCTTCTCACATGTCTTTTTTTTTAAAAAAAAAATATGCCCCTCTCTGGAGGCTAAAAAGGCAAAGAAAGTCCCTCCTCTGTCGCATATTCTTCCCTTGGCCCTTGTGAAGGGTGGGTGTGTGCAAACTTGAAAAAAAAGGTCTTCTCTACCAGGGGGAAGTGGTTAAAACCCCAGTCACTTACATGAGAGAATGAGAATCATCTGCATGCTATATATTTAACATGGCTTGTCGTTTAGCTCTTCAGTTGTGCTAAGTTGTACTAAGTACAACTTTTCACATCAGATCCTATATATAAGAGGCAAGGAACTGGCACCCATTAAGCATACCTCCTAGGGAGTCTGTTTAAGGAGTTCTCCACACCAGCTGCCACCTCATATGCAGGAAGCATTCATGCACAAAAATTCACAAGAGAATATGCCATTTTCTCCATGCCATTCCTGAAACGGTTTGAAGTAGCTGAGTGAAACTGTACAATTCTAAACTCTAAGCCACTGAACTGTGTATCATCACTCCCTCATCATCCCTTCCACCTCAAAGAAGCCCTCATGAGTTTACTTGCTTCTCTTTGGTGAACAGATTTATTCACCCCTAAGCATGACATGTCTGCATCTTCTATCATAGAAGAGCAGAAATGAGTGTTTGGCCCGCAGAAATAACTGAGAGCACTCTCTTGCAATGAATTAAGGCTGCCTATGTCTTCCACTAACCTCAGAACTGTTTCTACTGAGAATTATACCAGACAATACAGATAAGACAAAGAAGAACAGGTTACTTACCTGTAAACATGGTTCTTTAAGTGGATTCTCTATGAATACACACTGATGGGTTAAACAGCGCCTGCGCTGGTTCCTCTCGGAATTTTCCAGAGCTATGAGGGAAAAGATACAATGTTTGAGTTGCCCTGCACTGCGCAAGTGCAGCCCGCCAAAAATCCCCAGTTCCATGTGCCCGCACATAGAGAGAGTTGGAACTCAGTCAACAGTGACGGACACGTGGGGAGGTTGGGCGGGTCGTGTGTATTCATAGAGAATCCACTTAAAGAACCATGTTTACAGGTAAGTAACCTGTTCTTCTTTGTCTTATCTGTATTGTCTGGTATAATTCTCAGTAGAAACAGTTCTGAGGTTAGTGGAAGACATAGGCAGCCTTAATTCATTGCAAGAGAGTGCTCTCAGTTATTTCTGCGGGCCAAACACTCATTTCTGCTCTTCTATGATAGAAGATGCAGACATGTCATGCTTAGGGGTGAATAAATCTGTTCACCAAAGAGAAGCAAGTAAACTCATGAGGGCTTCTTTGAGGTGGAAGGGTTATATATAGTCACTGCAGCCAGAATTCTTTAGATCTAGAATTGAAAGAAACTGGTGATACCAAAACAAGAGGAACTTATTGAGAAGATACAGGAAGCGGCAGCAATGGATATTTTATCAGAAGTGTTGAAAACTGTCCAATGCAAAAGGCAAATGAATGATGGGATTTATTATATAAAAGGCCTGAGTCACCAGATAGTGCTTGAATAATATAGATTTAAACTAGGAGGTAAATGTAAGTTAAAACCTGGAGGGCAATCAAATTGTAGAAAAGCGGAAAGTTGATTTGATATTGCAACATGAATAGATTGGATGTCAGTACATTTTGTGTTTCTCCTCCCCCTCCTTCCCCCCATATCCCCCTTTACCTTCTGCACCCCTTACCTTATCCCAAGTTATTAATTTTTAAAAAAAGGTGCCTATTTCCATTATCAGAAGTGGATGGACAGCTTGGTGGTTTAGGTATTTGGCTGCGGAGCCAGAGACTGACAGTTTGATTCCACACTGTGCCTTCTGAGAACAGAGCCAACCTGTGTGGCCTTGTGGGCAAGCTGCACAGTTGCAGGGCACCCCAAGAAGAAGGGGACAGTAAACCACTTCTGAATATTCTCTGCCTGGAAAACTCTGAAAAGAGTAGCTACAGAATCGACTTGATGGACCATGATTATTATTTATTATTTTTATTACCAAATACCTAAGAAGCATATACCACATATGTGTCACAAGAAGGGAAGGGAAGAGACCAACAGGCAGAGTACATTCCCCAAATGAAGAGAATGAATATATGAAACCAACCTAAATCAAAGCATACAAGCACTGTTTATACAAGGAGACAGTGTCATACATCTACTTAGTTTTTAATTCCTTAAAAATAATCAAGGGATTGGATCACTATTTCTTTATACAATTAGTAGCCAATAACTATGGATTAAGATGAATTACAAATATGCAAATCAGACAATTTATAGTGAGGTAACAGAAACATTTTAACTGCTAACTATTGAGAATTATAGCCTCACTCTGCACCAGGATTTTGCCTCTAAACAGTAGGTATGACAAGTTGTGTTTTTTTAAGAAGACAAGAACAGCAGTGTTTTTCCAGAAAAACAAAGTCTCTTCCAAGGAACCTAGACACTGGAAACTATTCTAATAACACTAACAAAACCATTTATTATCCTCCATGAAAAAGAGGTAGAACGTGCCAGGAAAAGACCCACTTGCCTTCATTATCATACACAGGTTTATATTTTAAAGTTCCATTCATTTGCAGCTTATATCACTCCCCCCCCCCAGATGATGTATGAACGTCTCAGTACTCACTTGTGCATATTTTCCACTCCTATAATGATCATGATATAGTAGGAAATTCCACTTTGTATAACAAAATGTAAGGCATACCTAAAGGGCGGAAAATATTACAGTCCTTTGTTAGCCCAAGTATCATCATTTTCAGAAAACAGCAGAGAAGAATATTTATTTTGCTTTGCACTCAGTAATACCAAGCAAAATTATCTATACCAATTAATTCTCTGTTAAGGCTGTGTAAAAGCAACAACTTTTCAGACGTGTGCCAAAAGCGTGTTGTGAAAAACCATGTGTACAAGGAGAGTCAGTTCCCCCACAACCCTATCCTTTGTGTGACTGGGCACACACATAACCATGCAACCAGGCATGTGAAGGAGAGGCTGAAGGGGGGGAGGGGACTCCACTTGTACAACTACCCATCTGCTCAGTGTTTCACCAAAAGGATTTTTGCTTGGAGGTTACTGTACAACTGCCATTACTCATGATATCTACATTAACTGTATACATCTTGATTCCACAACTTTTGTAGAACTTCCCACTGTACCTGGGAAAATTTGTGGAAACTCTTGAAACTCATCCAATGGTGTGCAATAAAAGTATCCATCTTTTAATTCAGCTTGTTCCAAGCAAGTGTCCTGTACCAACATCTACAGCAGTTCTGAAAAGTGTTATCTTTTTTTTTTTTTACTTGCAAGGGTGAGTGAGCACTCCCAGATTTGGGTCTCTTTTTAAAAGATGGAATGTAAATGGAATTTTATCTCAGCCATGAAATTGTCCAGACTACAACTTATACGTGATCCATTATGTTGGTTCTGACAGTACATGTGGCCTGTATGGAAGCAGAGATTGTGGCTATATTTAGGAATCAGGGCAAAGGAGTGACAAGTCTTCCTCTTTTGTAGACAAAGTTCCCCCATTCCTCTGCATTTATCAAACTACAGGTGCAGAATCAGGGCCAAAACTATGGTTCCCATTAAATGGGAGGTTTTCCCCATTTCTCTCCTTAATAATCACTATTTAGAAACAGCCTAGGTTGATTTGAATAAGGTTAGTCACACATCCTGTGCCACAAATGGCTTGCTTTGTGCAACCTGCGCTTTATTTCATGTTTGAGTGCCTGAAACCGAGGGCTCGCAGTGTGTTTGTTTTCATGCAATGTACAAGAAATTGCATTTCACTGTGTTTCACTTAGAGAGAGAGAGAGAGAGAGAGAGAGAGAACTTCCCAAACCAGAGTTATATAAGAGCATTCTTTATGTAGTGTGTTCCTATGGCTATGAAATCCTATGCCTTTCCCTTTGGAGCCACTGATCCACCTAGAAGGCACTAATTCAAATTTGTCATCAGTCCCTAACAACCTGTGGTAGGCTGATGGTGTGTCAGATAAATTTTGTCCAACAAGTCATACCAAGGCAACATGTATTGATATTTTATAATGCCTTTATGCCATTTTATATAAAAGTTGGTATTATTTAGAACTTTTACCTTGCAGCGCAATGCAAGGTAAAAAAAATACAACATACAAGGATATAATGGTACCTTATCAACGTTTATATTCCAGCACATATTTTCATGGATTAATCCACCTCATCAGACACTCTAATACACTTCTCCCTTGAATTGCATGGGTTTGAGCAGCACAGTTTTGGCCACAAACATTGCACAAACATTTTTTTCAATCAATCACTCAATCACTCAATCCCATGCTGCAATTTATCTTCAAGAAGTGACCTGAGAAATGTGGGTCTCAGACTTTCCAAAGCCCCTGTTGTTGGCAGGGTGTGGTCCCCACTCCAATGACAGTGACCTGGCCAGCCCCCTCTCCTAGCATGCCAGCTCCACACGGTAGCTGCGGAGTGTGCTGGGACATGCTGCACAGTCCATACAGTAAACTCATCTGTTCTGTATCTCTGTGCGCGCGCGAATCAACTGTTTATACTTTGTAGTTATGTTTTGGGGGGCATAAGACATAGACATAAATTTTGAACTACATGGGGTCCAGCGCCCATAATCTCACTGCTGTTGAAGAGAGAGGTGTGTGTCTAACTAAATGGATTAATCCACAAAAGTTAAGACTTTATGGTGTAGCCACATTCTTGTCTTTTGTCTTCTATATTGGCTTGGTCAGGTCTTCCTAAGCATGGTGAACTGAGAACCTCCACTACTCATACAATATAAGGAATATACTGACATTCTGATAGTTGAATCACTGGTCAAGAGCTGACTTTAGAAAGAATATCTGTGCATTAATTACTGAAGAGAAAAACTGAGTTACTTACCATCCAAAACAAAAAAGTGCAAGATAAAGGCCCAAAAGAGTGGCAACAAGATGCCTTATAAATGGGCTAGTTTTGCTTGAATGAAGGTAAGTTCGAAACCAAACAGCAGCAAGCAAGGCAAATAGTTGGCACACGACAAAGTTGACCTGCAGAGAAAAGAAAGCTATCATTTATACCATCATCAGCTACAACTGTAGATTTGTCTCTGTTTTCATGGCAATGAGGAAACCAAGTCTTCAACGACCCGGAAGTGGTCCGCAGCCTATAGGGTTACTGGACTAATATACCAAAGTTGTGGCAGATAGAGATCACAGTAGACAATATTGTATACAGTGGACCCTCTACTTACGGAATTAATCCGTACTGGAATGGTGACTGCAGGTCGAAAAGTCTGTAGGCCGAGTCTCCATTGATCTACAATGCATTGAAAACCAATTAATCCGTAACCGGCCGTTTTTGTTCCGTTTTTGTTCCATTTTGGCTTTTTCCTAGTCTGTAAGTCGATTCTCTGGCTGCAAGTCGAACCTAAATTTTGCGGCCAGAGAAGTCTGTAACTCGAAACGTCTGTAAGTCAAGCCGTCTGTAAGTCGAGGGTCCACTGTAATCCAATTACATTACAGCTGAAATCTTGTTGGGCACATTATTCTGTGTAAGGCTGATGATGTCATCAGCCATAGTGATTTTCAGAATTCAAGCAGTTTCAGTTTTTCCCCCAAAGGTCCCAAGTCAGAAACAGGCAACCCACTCCTTCCCAAAGTATTGTAAGTGCAAGTCCAGTTTCAGAGTCCTGTACACTCCTGGTCTGTACCGTTCCTCTTCTAGAGACAGGAAGGATTAAGAAAAAAAGCATGTAAGATCTGGATGAAATTTCTTATCCTTCAAGTGGAGCTGGGATTCGAGCCTACTTTGTTGCAGCAGAAACAGTACAAATTCTAATTTGAAAACAACTCTCTCAATTTGGATGTCCTGTCAGTATGTATCATGAAAGACAGCTTTCAAGCTTTTTCAATAATATCAGAGGGATATTACAAGAACAGCTTTAAAGCTCTGTCTGAAAACCAATGTCCATGGGCATGTTAACCACTTTCTAGAATCTGCTATACTGTATTATAATAGATGATCTGACATTGTTCCTCTATAAAGAATGTCTGAATACAGTTGACAGTATGTGATTTTCCTGAGCTTCTACTGAGCAGAAAGAATGAGAAACAGAGATAATACTTCAAAACATTTTGCCCTAACAGAAGGGTGCAAAAATACCAAACCATGCTGCAAAGGAGGGGCCTCTACTCCCACAGACATGTACCACCAGTTTTTGTACTTGTGTACAGTTTTTCTGCACTATCCATGAAAGGGCTGTGCTAAGCCTGAAGAAGTGGAATTTTTCCCACGAAAGCTTGCAATTTGTTTGATTTTTAGTGGCCCAATAAAAGGTATCACCCCTTCCTACATTTGCACTAAAGAAAAAGTTATTCCAGCATAATAATGTGAGGTCATGCCACTTGTGGAAGAGTTGTCATTGCATAAGCAGTAGCTTTCATGAAGAAACCCTGGCTTCTGTTTATACAATGGCAATACTGGAACACACTGTGCAATCTGTATCACTACTGGCGGAACTTTCCAATAAGAGGCAACACGAAAATATATTGGCCCTGATATAAGTTACTGAGGAGAAGGAGGTGGCCCTTTATCAACCCCCAATGCAAAAACTGTATGGTTAGTGATGCAAAAGTAACTTGCAAGATCTAGTTTCATTTCCCCGTATAAGGACAGAAAAACTCTTCTGGTGGAATTAACATCACCATTCCTCCTTCTAACAGTTATGCAAGTATTCCTGTGCTTATGTATTGGGGCCTTTGTCTTGGGAGGTGATGAAAACCAACTGGTGGGGAGGATTTTTACCCATTCATTCATTCATTCATTCATTCATTCATTCATTCATTCATTCATTCATTCATTCATTCATTCATTCATTCATTCAAAAATATTTGTATTCTGCTTTTCAAGGAATTTCAGAAAGTAAAACTTTAAAACAGTGAAATTTAATATATAGTTCATTTGAAAAAAAAGTACAACAAATACACAACATAAAAGATGAAACAATTAAATGTAGCTTGGAATAACCAGAGTTTTTATTTTAGAACAGTAAAGGGAGTCATGCTACACAGGAAGAGGACATCACAGCTGTCAAAAGTTGGTTTCAATGCTTTCCTATGGGGAAGATAAAAATTCACCAAAAATTAACGAAAAGTCAGATCAAAGCCAAATTAAGTTTGCACGCGTTTTAGAAGGTGCACTAATGATTCCAAGCAGTTAAAACATTTTTAAACATTTTAAGACACTTTTAAAATTGAAAAAACGGACATCCTTAAGCGATACAGGGGACCTAAAAATGCATTCGCTATGCGAAGCATGGTCCCGAAATCGCTAAGCGAAAATCGCCCATAGGAAACATCGTTAAATGATGCATAGAATTCTTTTTTAAAAACCATCGTTAAGCGAAAACATCGCTAAACGAGGCAATCGTTAACGGAGGCACCACTGTAAATATTATCCAAAGAAGAACTAGACTTGACATACTAAAGCTCCAGGAACACACTTTTAATATTTAGGGTTCCTCAAAATCCTAGAAAGGGTCCTCTTGGAAAACAGAAGATGATAACTCCAGGTAACATTTTAAACTCTATGTTCATTGGAATGGATCATGTGTTCAGGTCACAATTTGAAGAAGTCTTTAGAGACCTAATTTCCACTCTGGAAATAATTTTTAAGGAAACAAAGGCAATGTTCATGTTTCATCTCCTACTTTTATC